GGGTGGCATTGGTGTGCGTGTCGTTCGCCAGCCATACATGGTAGATCGACTTGTCGTGCAGGAGTTGGCACGGGACTCCCCCACCATTGCACTGGTGTACCTCAATGAGTTCCGGACAGCAACGGCAGCCTTTGTGCTTAGCAGCTCCGATCCAAAACTCATCAAGGTAATCTGTACAAACAAGAGTATAGATTATTATCCATTTTAGCCTGTAGATTGTCTGTTGTTATTAGAACTATTAGCCTGGATGCCCAGAAACACCAGATTACATTGTGGTCTTTGAGAGGATACAAGTTTTTTATATCTTACTACAAGAAATATGACTGGAGTAAGCCTTTCTCTTTTCTCCAGTTAAGCATTACCCCACCATTGTAAATTCTGCCTAAAATATATGAGCTTTACTGTACTTTCTAAGAAGAGGTAAGCTTCTGGTACCATCAGCCCAGCGTACCAGAAATAAAGCAGGCACAATGAAGCTGAAGCCAACCACTAAGAAAGCATTCCCCATACAGCTTTATGGCACAGGGACAACACTGCTTTTATTTCTGAATTGGAGGAATAATATTTGTGCAAGTTAAACTAAAAGTAAATTTGCCCCATGTCTAAGTACCATGACATTAAGACATATTGGGATGTCATGGCAAGATTCCTCTCATTGCAGACCTTGGCACAAGGTGAAGGTGAGTGGCAGGCAGGCCCCTCTTGGAATACAGCCTCCAATAACGATCAGATAAGACATTGAAATTGTTTTTAATGTTGTGTGAGGGAAAAAAGTCCTTGTAATAACAAGTTTAGTTGGTGTGTATGTCAGGTGACAAATCATTTACACTGGCAACGAAACAAATCTTAATGCTTTTCTGCCTTACTCTTGTACTGTTTTTAAATGTTTTTCTTTTCCATGCAGAGCTGGGTAGATAGCATCAGAAAGGCTCAAGAGTTGTATGCAGCTGCAAAGCAGGCAATCAGTACTGCCAACATTACAGCGTCATCTGGCATCCCTGTGACCACGACAGGAGGCTCCATCAGCAGACAGCCGAGTGCGTGTTATTATGAGGATGATGATTTAATGGACCCAATAGAGTGCCACAGTTGTGCCTCATATGGGACTAATTCTGTTCTCGTCCCAAGCCGCAGCCCCAGAGGAGACTCCAGCAGGGGCAGTCGAGGCTCTAGCCTAGTTCATTCGCACAGGTAAGATGACCATTTTACTATCGTGTCTCTCTGGAACTGTGGCCACCAACAAGCCCAGTGTTCATCCCCCCTTAATATACATGAGTGAATATGTAGCAGCAGTGGATTGTTGTTGGCAGGGGAGACCAAAGGGTTGTCCCAGTGCCACTTTATCCACCACAAATCCCACATGGACTGCTCTAGGCATAAACCCAGGCCTTTATGGTGGGAAACCAGCAACTAATCACTTAAGCTCTGGCACTGCAAATTCCATAAATGAAAGTTATTCTATTTTTAAATATGCACTTCAAAATGTTATTTAACAGGGACACTGCAATCCCTTTTTAGATTTTCGTTTCTTGCAGAGGCCAGGATAATATCTCCATGACAACTGGAAATTGTTCTTTTCCATTTCATCCTGTGATGTTTGACACTGAATAACATCTGCAACGAATACAGTTATGATCATTTTGTGTTCACAGTGGCTCAATGGACATGAATGAAGTTTCCTCAGTCAGCAGCATCAGTCAGTCCCGTGGTGTCAGCATGGAGAATGAGCTGAGAGGTTCTAGCCTTAGTTCAGATGAGGGCATCCCCGCTCTGACCACTTGCTCATGCAGTGAGGGCAAGACTGTGTCACAGCAGCCAATTCCTACACCATCGCCTCGGTCTGACCGGTGAGTATGCCTTTAATATGACAGCGCTATGATTGACACAGAATAGAATATTATGCATAACAGTAATTGTTTCTCAGTTTGTCAAGGATGATGATGTGGTCTCTTTCCAGATGAAATACTTTTTAGCACTATACTTTGAGATGAAATAATTTTGAGATTGTCATTTAATATAATATTTGTGATATGTTCATCACCTGGGATACCTAAGGGCATGGCATAAGTATAATATTAAAATGGAACTTAAACAAATAGAATCTGAGAGTGTTGATTGAATTCGAGTGGCTCAAGATTAGGTCTAGTGGTAGGCCCTTGTGAAGACAATAATGAACCTTCAAATTTCACAAAGGGCAGGAAATTTCTGGACCACCTGAGCAAATATCAGCTTGTAAAATAGTCTGCTGCATAGTTACTTACTTAGTTCAATATTTAATCAGTCTTTTAAGAGTGAATATTTTTTGAGCAGTGTCTTTTATGGCATAACAGTGTGCTTCTAGCTGAGACTGTGCTTTGCTATAGGCGCAGTCTGCTGTCCAAGTCCCCGTCACCCAACACTCTGAGTGTGCAGGTTCCAGTGTTCTCCAGCCTGGGACAGTCACTTCCAAATCTGAATCTGGCCACCTCACCCAGCACCAGCCATGCGACAACACCCAACCCTCCCACATCATTGCTCCTAGTGCCCCCCTCTGGCAGTGCCAGTGCCACCTCCTCTCATCATCACGGTGGTCTGCTGAGTCCAGGACACCGGGGAGTCTCGTACCCACCGCCGTCCCCCCCACGGGGCTCACTTCGCAGGGGATTTGCCCTCACACAGTCCAGGAATCCTCCACTGCAGAAGACTAGACATGTCAACTCATCAACAGTCAGCAGTGGGGTCCCAGCTGTGGCCAGCCCCACTCAGGGTTCCAGTCCAGCAACAAGCTTTGATTTTGACATTCCTGTGATAGCAGGTTAGACACTAAGAAACCATGAGTCTTGGCTGATTGATATTTAAAATACTGTTACAACATTATTTTTTAAAATATAGGGCAGTAATGTGAAACATTGTATTTCTACTATGCAGCAAGAATGACTTCCCATTAACATTTTTCTTATCAGGTATATCACCGCCCAATGAGGAGGGTGTGACTCCTGAACCGCCTGAGGATATTACAAGTACAGGACCTCTGAGGTCACATCCACATCGTCACGCAATGATGAAGCGCCTTACAAGAACAGATAATAGACGGTACCATACAGCTGGGGCTATTGATGACATCAAGGTTTGTGTATGCAGCCAGTCAGGCATTACTGCAATAAGGAACTTAAAAAGATCCAGCTTCTTGGATACATTTGTAAAACGTAGCAGCACCCTTTAATTCTGTCTGTCATGCCTATACGTTGAGCCCACTACAGCAGCAAGACGTAAGACGTGTTTATGGGGTTGAAATTGATGAGAGGGAACCAATTAATGGCTGTTATGCAGTATGGTTAAATTTCTGATATCTACAAACAGGTAAACAGTATTAATATATAATTTCTGAATGATTAACTGGGATACTGGGAACGACCCGTTCTTCAAGTGCCTGAGCATTGCGGGTCCCAACTTTTCGTTGGCTTTGATCTATGGACATTTTGGTAGGACTCCTTGGACGAGGGATCGGCCCCTCACAAGGCCTCTACCTGTACACAGGACAGCACAACACAGAAAAACGCGGACAGACATCCATGGCTTGAGTGGGATTCGAACCCACGGTCCCAGCGACCAAGCGGCACAAGGCCCACGCCTCAGACCGCGCGGCCACTGCTGACCCCAAATGATTAACAGTTTAGAAAATTTATGTGCAACAAATGATTTCTAGTGCATTTTCTTAGTTATAGTCTTTAGATTTCACTTCATGAACTTTCTTAGGATTGTGCAATGGCAGCTTCGGTGTTAGTGGTCTGAATATTTGTGTTCTACTGTGTCAAAAATTAGTTAATTTTATATTCACTGTTTACCTTTCAATGTTTATAGTTTGCAGTTTTATATACACACAGTGTATTCATGGATGTGATACTAATTTCACAGTGAGGCCAAATTTATTATACCCTATGAAAAATATTTGTTTTTAACCCATTTAGTTTCTTTACTAAATTGTTATGCGTCCCTTAGCAGTGCTACCAAAACTCACAGTTACACGTTTACCACATCATATGTGTAAATACGGCTAATCTGCATAGTTAAAGTAATTAATTCTGTGAACTGTATTTATTTTAGAGTTCTGTTGTGTTTAGCCTCTATCCAAATATTAAAAATAATTTTTAACCTCTTATTTTATAGTCTTTTAACTAAAATTTGTGTCCTAAATTTTATTACTGTGTATTTAGTTTCACTTATTGAAATCAGTATCCTTACTATTGTACTCGGTTTCTTACTGGTATAATTTCATACATTTCTTTATGAAGCCTCATGTCTCTGTGAGCAGAAGCAGGATAGCCGAGATGCCAGCATCCACAAGCGCTTATCGTGGAACTGTGGACCTGGGATGCAGGGATCAAGTCCATCCAGCAGTGACCTCCCTGCTAGCAAGTGTGTGAGCAATGAAAGCATGCAGAGCTCCAGTGGAGTTAGTTCGACAGGCAGCTTACCATATGGTGGCAGTCTGGTGAGGGAACTGGACCTCTTAGATCTGGATGGTGAGGGATTGCAAAATCAAGTTTATCATCAGTTGGTCTTAAAAGAATTTTCTCGCAATGTCAAATGTATTCTTTTTAGCCTGTCCTACTTTCCTATGCACATGAAACAATTACATTCTGGCTGAATAGTTTTCATATTTTATTCTTTAGTCTTAACAGACATTTACTGATCAAATTCAATCCTGGTCAGTATTAGTCAGTACGCACTATCAGGATTTTACTTTTTTTGATGTTTTGTTTTGCATAATGTGCTGCCAGCACCTTTCTTTACACATAACACTGCCATTTCATCCATAGAATGTCACTTCTGATCACTGTAGCATTAACTGTGAAGCTTCTTCTCATATTTGAACATCATATATCACACTATAAATTATTATAATTTGTTATCCTTTTCTGACAAGTATTGTGTCATTCAATTTACTGCTTTGGTGAGGACTGAAACTTTTAATTTTTAATGTCTTGACAGGGCCACCACGTGTTGTGTGTGGGAATCAGCTCGGTTGCTGCTTTGACACTCATTTATCTGCAGCTGCAGCTTCCAGGAACCCCGTAATAGATGAGACTGAGACATCTATTTGTCCACCCCTCTCCCCTACCATGGAGGCTATCAACATGGAGGCAAGTGTAACAGATCATACCTGTGTGTATGAGCATGACAGGAGGCAACACTGGACTCTGTCCTGAATGCCAGTTCATATCTTTTTATTTATCTGTGATTCATCTTAATATTTTCCTTACATTAACCCATCGTGGCAACAGGGCAATAAGGTTGTGCAGGTTCATAATGGACTATGTGCTACAAATTCTGGTTAGATATTACGTAAAGATACTGGGATACTGGGAACAACCCATTCTTCAAGTGCCTGAGCACTGCAGGGTCCCAACCTTTTGTTGGCTCGATCTGTAGACATTCGGTAGGACTCCTTGGACGAGGGATCGGCCCGTCACAAGGCCTCTACCTGTACAAAGGACAGCACAACACAGAAAGACGCGGACAAACATCCATGGCTTGAGTGGGATTTGAACCCACAGTCCCAGCGACCAAGCGGCACAAGGCCCACACCTCAGACCGCGCGGCCACTGCGGACCCCATTACATAAAGAACCAATACAATTTTCACTGCTGTTTTAAATGCTTACAGCTAATCAGGTCACATTTGACTCCTGGACTCCAAGCACCCACAGACTCTGGAGGGTCAGAGACGGCAAAAATAGAAGTGAGTGAGACACGAGAAGGTGCGACAAGGAATCCTCCCAGTAAAGCAGATTTACTACGGATGAAGGACCTTATACTAACAGACTCGTCGGTGGAAGCCTCGTAAGTAAAGCAGGAGTATAAGAGGGAACAGCCTTTCATAAATTGCCACATTCTGTCTGCATGTGCTAACAATTTTTGTCAGTATTTTGTAATCATATTGATGTTATTGTTTCTTACCTTATTTAATAATTCTGTCAACATTTAATAGATTGTATAGAATGAGTTAAGAAATAGGAATATTATAAATAATTGTTTAAAAAGTATGAGGGAGAATGCATTTGTGAGCTATTTCAATATTTATTATGATTTATTTAAATAAGTTGTATCATCAGAAAACTTATGCTGAATTAAACAGAATGTATGTAAATGGTCATGAATGAAGGTAGGTTGAGGGGAAAAGCAGATATAACTGATTTGAATTTGAAATGTGGTGTAGAATGAAAGAGAAAGTGGAAGACAGTGTATTAAATATAGTAATTGTTGACCTGTGTAAAATCATAAAACCTTGCAATAGTTATATACTCTGTTGAACCAACTCTCAAAATGAAATTCTGTATCTTAGCAGGCGCATAAATTTTCAAAATAAATTCTCATATAAATGTTGGATCATGAAAAATCATCTGAAAAGTATCACATTAAGGTACACTCTTCTATCATCCCCATACTGCTCTAAAATGAGCACAAGATTAATTTTCCATAGAATTTAGTTTAGCCTAATTTCAGCCAATTAAAAACACTTTTATTATGGATTACTAAACCTAACATAACTTTTGTAGGACATTAATCTATTGCAGGTTCTTGCCGACTAATACAAGCTTCACAGTATTGCATTATGTTTTAGATAAGTCAGTACAAGCTTTTAAGAGTTTTTTTTTTTGTGATGGTTTAAGCATTCTCTGTTTTAGGTTATGTTAGACTTCACTACCAGCCTACATTTAGGAGACCAGATGGTTGATTTCTTAAACCATTTCTCCAAAGAGTTAAGGATGATATGAGTAAAAGTAAAAGTGATTTGCTTAAAATCATGGATGTAACCATGCTTTGTAGAATTGGCCCAATGAAGTCAGGCTCATTTTGTGATGGTAATGACCAGATTAAAGATATAGTACTTAATCAGTTTTGATTTTTGCAGGCAAGTTTGAACAAAATGTTCCAACGCCAACAACAAAACTTTAGTGCGCCCCCAAGTTCATTGTGAAGAATGAGCTTAATAAAGGGCAACAAAGCAAGATCTCTCTAGGTTGGTCCACCAATTGAGGTGACTGAAGGGAGTAATTTATTTGGTCAGCTCTGTAAGTGGGAGAGTTCTATGATTTAATGCACGCAGGCCTGCCAACAAAACTAGCCTTATCCATCAGGCTTACAGAGTGGAGTGTACAGGGAATTTATTTGCATGATGGAATCAATACAGAGCAAAAAGTAAATTAGAGCCTTATAGGCTTCATGCCCAAGATGTTGGCAGGCCTGAGTGTATAGAACTGGGCAGTTCTGGGAGATGGCTGAACTTACATAGCTAAGGCAGCAAGTACTCTGATGAAATATGAAGCTGTTATTGGAAATATTGATTCTCTGGAGAGAGGAAAACAGTCTCTGAGATCATCAACAGTAATACACAGGTTTAATATAGTATGTTTTAAACTAGCAATGGTTAACAAATATTGCTTCTAGAATTGGCCAAGATATTGAAAGAATGAATACTGATTTTTCCCAGACATTAGCCATTATTGTGGAGAGGGCTTATTAAATATTCTAGTACAAGTACATTTGAATCTGGAGATTCAATATAAACAGAAAAATTACTTTCACTTTTATACAAATAATTAGCAAATTATGGTCTATTTATAAGCCAGAATGCTGGATGACTCTACTAAGAAAATAATGTGTGCTATACAGGGTTGGAAACTAAATGATTTCCTTTGATCACTAGGTATTTTTCATAAAGAGTTTCTCACCTTGTTTCATGTTTTAATATCTCTACATAAGAATACTTAAATTTCTAAAATCAAACATGAAAAATTTACAGTATAGTCATAAATTATAATCGTGATCCAACAGGTGTTGAAAATTTTCCTTAGTTGACATGTAAGAAATTTTAAAGATGTTTAAACAAAAAGTAAATTTTCTATACTGAAGTTAGTCTGTTAATAATTATAGTATAATTGATAATACACTAAAAATTGTATCCACTATAACTGAAGATTGACAACTTTTCAAAGCAATCATAGTTTCAAAATCATATATTCTAAATCCAAATTATACTCTTTAGAAATGTCATTAGTATGTTTCTCTGTGTGTTTCTGTTCAGTCTTATTGTACTTGATAAGTTCGGAACATGTGCATAACAGTCACAAAACACGTTATTGTAAAGACAAACGGGTAAAAACAAGTATATTATGCAGCTTACTACATTTGGCAAATAATATTCAAAATTACTATATGAGGAATGTTTGAGGATTACTGTGAATATGTGATGTGATAGATATATTCTTCTCTCTCCATTTGTTGGTTCTGTAATCAGTAAAACTCCATTCATATAGAGACTATAAGAGTCAAGTAATTTCCTTGATTGATGGTTCCTTAAGTCACCCTAGAATATGCTTAAGATTACGGTGAAAGATAAACTGAACCTAATAATGTAAGCCAGTCTGTGGTATCTCAAAGACTTATTAAAAGATACCAACCAGTCAGTCAATAAATATGATATACAATGTAGCCCTCTCCAAAATGTGGAATGTTTCTCTGGGTATGTCTAGTACAGTAATGATGGCAGTGCTTGTGTATTTAATAGAACAGTAGATGCAGAGTGTCGTTATAGTCTCACTGCCAAGTAGGACCTTGGTTTGGGTCCCAGAATAATTAATTCTTTCCAGAGCATGAGTGAGTGAAAGTGACACTGCCAGTAGGCAAATGATGCTATTGATTATTTCCAGGTATAACATTGTTACATAAGTTTGCCACAGTTAATAATAATTTTAAGAACTAGACATGAACATGGTGGAGTATGAAAACAGTCCAGCTAAGACTTCAGAAAAAATTGTATAATTTGCACAGATAGAGCAGTTTATTAACACACATCTTGAGTATTCAACAAGTTAGCTCAGTACATAGAACATAATATTTTCTTGTGGAAAGTTCCCTTTATAACCTAATGTTAGTAATGTCAACTGAAATTTTATATGATATTCTTCTGTTGCAACAAGTGGAAGCTAAAATTATTATTCCACCTAAAGTCATGCCATTCTCACAGCTGATTACAGCTAAATTTCTGCTGGAGTCTGTTCCCACACATTTCCAATAGTGGTATAACCTCACATTATTCTGCAGTTGCAAGAGGTAACCCATTGTCTCTTATACAGGATGGGTGGGAAGTAAGTAGGCATTGAGAAATGGTTATAACCTCTACTTTTCCAATGCAAAGATATTATTTAATGCCTACTTACTTCCCACCCACTCTGTATATCTGAAGTCATGGCATTTATGATTCCACTAAGTTTTTCTCATGTTCTGTAGTGCATATAACTATGAAAGTACAATTCTCTGCATTTCTATAAAAACCTCATTCCAGTAGTTCCTGTTGCTCAGGCAAAGATGATCATTTATATTTTTAAAGTGCTATGTAATCAAATATGTTAAAAATTTTCAGCTTTATTGACTTGTTCCAGTCCATAATTATAATGAAAAAAACATTTTTCATTGTGCTATGGACACTGAAATACTGTACATTGTGGTGATGTAATATAAAATGGAGTATGAAAATTATGTGCACATTTTACTCATGTGTACAGTCACATGACGAACAAAATTCAGTTTCTGAATTGAAAATAAATAATCACTTAGTTGTGAAGCTTTCTGATATAGGAGACATGCTCTTGATGAAATTAGTACTTATAAAATTGTTTTGTATGTGCCAGGATGTGGTGCTGGACAGTTCTCATGTTCTAACCTGTACATAGCTACATTAACTACACCAGTATATAAAAATTAGTTTTCAAAAGTTTAAAAAGACAAAGTATTACAAATGTTAGTCTTCTTATATTTTCTGACATTTAATTTTTATTATGTGTGGCTTCCTGGATAATATTACCAAACTCCTTTACATATTAAATCCTGAAGTGATACTTAAAATTCTAGAACCATCCACATAATGCATATATAGTTTGAGGTCTTTGCTCTTTTCTGCCCTTTGTTGTTTTTCCATAACATTTACTTATGGTAATATGAACGGTGCTGGCGTGAATATGAGTGTCAATGACAATGACATAGCCTTTCCTTCATATAAATATTTCAAATTGGAGGGACCAAATAAACATTACATGGTCTTGCTGCTGAATGGCCTCTAGTTATCACTTTTTTATGCATAAAGGCCCAGAAGTAGACATGCATAGTGTAAAATTAAGAATAAAAGTTTGTTTTAGTTTTAAATATGTATATAATGTAAGTATTTAACTGAAATATGAACTTTCATGGCTCAGTCATCATTAAACAATGTGTGAAGGTTTTATCAATAAAAAGAAGCAAGATTTGTAAGTTCTATAAAAATCACAGAATTAATTAACATGAACAAATTAAAGTAAAGGTTTTGGTGGGTAAAGACTGGCCACAGAAGGCAAGGAGAAACCCGTGGTACTTTCGCAAGAAAACCCCGAAAGGGGTCACGACGGTCAAGCTTACCATAGACGATGAAATTTAAAAAATAAATCTGGAGGAATTAACTTTTACTTAACTTAAATTTTGTTATTGACATGAACAGAGGGTTTCTAGCAAAAAGATGTTTTGCATTGCACATCCTAGCACTTACATTCATTCATATTTGAAAATTCAGTACACTGCATATTAAAACCACAGCAAAAGCATTGCATGTTGGCATATTTCTTTATTTTGTTCAAATTAGAATGTGTAAGACAAAAATATACTTGATACTATCTTTAGTTGCTTTTGTAGATGAACAAAAAAAATTTGTTATTGGTAGCTACAGTGAAAATGGTTAAAGACTACAGATTCACAAATATGTACACTTTTGGTATTACTAAACTATATCTGAAAAGTCAAATTATGTAATTGTTTTAATTTACATAATATTTTGGAATTATCACAATTGTTGAAATTATACAATAGCCTGAGAATGATTCTGTCCCATTTAGTATGTTTTCAACTGTACAAATATGTTCAGAGGATTTCCAGGTGTTCTACATCCAATGCAGGTTGAATCTTTTTGTCTGCTTGCATCTAAGTACACGGAACAAGTCTTGTATTTTAAAAAATTTGCTAAAACAAAATGCTGAAGTCTCCCAACATATTTGCTCTGCAGCCTCAGAGCAAGAAAGGAGTGCCTCTTATAAAAATAGTTATTTTAGCATTCAGTTCCACTTGACTGAGAGCATTCTAAGTAACATGGATGTGGAACAAAAGGCACAAATGAAGATGACTGGTAAGCTTAGGTTTCATACCCAAATTCTGCAGGAATTAACATCAGAATCTGAATGCCCATTAGTATAACTGAACTAAGGCTAACCAGCTATGTAACAACCCAAATTTTTCACAGCTATTTCCTAATGATCACATTCCAGAAGGTGATCCCACCAGAAGTCTGTACACATTTCTTATTTCTTGTCTCTTCAGTATGAAAAGACATCTGCTTCTCATGAATTCTCACAAATGGTAACATGAGACTTCAGGTTTTCATTGGGACAGTATGAAGATGTATGATTTGAAGCTTTCTCGGCAGTGTAACTCAAAATATTCTCGGGCTGTCAGCTGTGTCAAATGGTTAATACCATTGAGTATGAAGATGGCTGTCTTTCAGAATGTTTTACCAAGTAGTCTTGTAGAAATCGTCTGTCATTTCTTTGGTGCTTACTGCCTCAACATTTGGGAGGTGGTAAGCACCTCTGAAATGCCAGTCAGTATCTACAAGACTACACAATGCAACATTTCAGAAGACAGTCATCTTCAAGATAGTAACTATGATAATGAACATAGCCATTCATGAAATTTTCTTATGGAACCCAAAAGTCTATTACTGTGTTCAGAAGAGCCCACCATTTGTTTCTTTCCTGAGCTGATATGGCATAAATAATGCACGAATCAGTTGACCACAGAACACAGTTGTATTCACTCACTCATATTGAAGCAGCTGAAGATCAGACCTAAACCAAGTAGCACATAACATAAACAATTTGAGTTCATACAAGAAGAGCAACAGAGTTTCATGCATAGTAATAGTAGTGGTTGTGTAATTGATGTACAGTAATATAGTAAGTCCAGACTTAAGGCCTTTATGAAGCTGAAATTAGTAACATGTGTAACGTAGTCTCTTTTTTTTAATTATATAAGGATGCTAAGAAGTTCCACCGCATGATTTTTAATGTAATGATATGTCTGTCTCATTCATATCAGAATTGTTAGATTGTACAGCATGTCATTTTACATAGAACTTCAGTTTAAATGTAATTTCAATGATAAGGTAATTTGTAGGTGAAAATACATGGTTGTACAGCAAGGAATTTGGCAGATTACCATTGAGGCTATGGTTGGCAAGTTTGCGAAATGTGAGTCAGTTAAGACTCAAACCTATATTTCCTGTTAAATAAAGATTGCATGATTGCATTAACTGCTTGAGCTTCTGGTGGAGGGGGGGGGGA